AAACAAGTAAAAAGTAGTAGAAAACATAATCTATGGATTCACAGAAATATAATTTTAATAAAGATTTTAATAAACTAGAACTTATGACCTTTTGCCGATTGCTAAAAAATAAATTTACAACAAAAATTGATGAAAATAACATAAAAGTAAGTACAAGACATATGCCAAATTTTACATGGTAAGTGGTAAATATTAAGTAATTCCCAAAGCACATATTTCCAGCAATTACTTGAACAATTGTAACCTTTTAAATTGGATTGATATTTAGTATAAAATGGTTTGCTCGAAACATGAAAAAGATTCAATAATAAAGATTAACATTATTTAGGTTGTGTGTAGAATATCTCTCTATTATTGTTTCAAATATTGTAGATCGAACTGTAAATTGGTCATGACATGACAAGTTTTTCAAACTAATTTGATTTATGATTCTATCATAGACATTTCACAAAAATGGGCAGGCAATAAAAGTTCCTATCTGTACCTGTAAAAACTAATCATAATTTTTTACATGGTTTGTGAGTTCCATCATTGTAGAGAATTGCAATGAAGTTTTGTAAGTAAAGGGAAAGAGATCCATATAATCAAAGAAACCACTTTATTTTAATAAGGTATGTAATTAGGTGAAAATCAATAATTAAATTGATTATGTTGTACACTTGAATCAAATAATTACCATTTCATTCTGTTGCAGATGAATGAATGCACCTCTTCAAGTTCTACAGAATTATTAAATGAAGGAATCTGCTTCAGAATTACTGACTGCATGTCGCTGCAACATCTGTGCTACAAAGTTTGATTGTTTGATAATTGTAATTCTAAACTAAATTTGAAAAATAACTTATTATATGGAGTAGTTTAATCACAAATCTAAAAAAGAGTCGCCATGTTGCAGGAAATGCTAGTAACTATATTAATGTCAATATTGATATATGTGTAACCTATAGATTTAGTGTTTACTATTAGTTTGATGTTAATAATATGACAATTTTTAGTAATATTTATTAGACTTTAATATAAAATATACACTAGCATAGCAAGATTTTCTCGAAATTGGGAAATGCAGTGTATAGAAAATAAAAATATACTAAAATATAGGGAA